CTATCTCTCTCTGTCTCTATCTTTCCTTCCTCTTGTATGTGTGTGTGCATGCATGCATGCACACTCTGTGTACAGGTGACTCTCTGTAACCATTGGTTCCACATCAATGAATTGAACCAACTGCAGTTTGAAAATAATTGGAAAAAGAATTGTATCTGTAATGAACATGTACAGACTTTTTTTCTTGTCATTATTCCCTAATTAATATAGCATAACAATGATTTATGCAACATCTGTATTGGGTATTGTAAGTAACAGAGATGATTTAAAGTATACAGGAAGGTATGCATAGGTTATATGAAATTGTAACATTTTATATAGGGATCATTTTATATGAGCATTCACAGATTTTGGTATGTACAAGTTGGGAGATGTCCAGGAACCAATCCTCCAAGAATATAGAGGAATGACTATATGTGTTTCAATCACATTAGAAATACATATTATATATGCATGCACAACAAATACTGGTCCTAAGCATTGCATACTGGCTTGACTGTGCCTGTGGAAATAAACATGCTTTTATACTTGTTAAATAACCAGTGCTCGGGGTCTTCATACTGCCACCCCTATCACTATCGTGTTTGTTTGGGAAGTTTTGTTACTTGGTATAACCCAACTACAAGATGGTTAACAGCTGTCAAATTAGGGAGCCTGTACTCCTTAACCATTATCTCATCTGACTGTTGGACATGTATGTACACATTCAACTGTGTTGTGTAGATAAATTAAAACGTATTGCATTCCTTGAATATTGGAATATTTAAGGAATGATTTTTGTTTGTCAAGTTTCATATGGGTTTTTTGTCAGTTATGTCTCGATAAAGCCATTTCAAAATAGAAAAAGAGAAAGAGGTAGTTTTGTTTCATAAATTAGAAGTGACTTTGTTCAGTTATTCTCTTTGCACCCCATCAAATAGTTATTTTAGTCAGTATTGTTTTCCTTCCACTCAACTTTCAGCATTTTTTTTAAAAGAAGCATTCTTCTCATAACATGAAGAGACTTTGGTAGTTTAATTTGGTCAATTTAAATTATATTATTTAATATCTGTGTCTTTTCCCATTTGTCTTCTACACATTTAATCCTGTAATTTAAGAGGTACCGTATTCGATACCATATTTCTGAATGTGCTAGCACTTATTTCTAGCCAGCTAAGCATATCTACTGTTTTTGTATAAAATTGCTGGCCACTCAAGGAGCATCTTTTTTCAGGAATTTTCCAGTGCATGGAAAGATACCCTTTCACAAGAATGACTTCAAAATTGCATAAGTGATCATACTACTTTTTATGGATTTTTGCTATTTACTAATTGCTTTGTTTTATATTAGAGTTCTAAATGGCATTTTCTAAATAAAATTTGACTCCAAACATTTCACTAACTCAATTTGTTTTTGCACAGTTGTAGGTTTCTTTTTTTTTCCCCTCTTCCTTATTTAGTCTATATGCCCTTTGATGGCAACCTTCCAATAAGTCAGAGGTAATTTGACACATTAGAAAGGATTTGTTAAAAAACAGTAGAAAAATAATGCTATAAAATGTTACAATTTCGCACCATATCTATTTGCCATATGAAAATTTATCATGGTATTATATTCACTACTGTATTATGTTCAAGTAATTTGACTTTTTGTTAACACTATGTCAATGTATTTAAGGTACACAGCTGTCAGTAGTCTTAAACTGTACATGATATGCAACTTGAGTAGGAGAGTTTCTCCGATTGCATATGTTTGCAATCTTTATTAACAGATTGCTAATTTGTTAATTTTTGTCAATGGAATACACTCTTTTTATAGTTTAGTGGAATTTTTATGCAAACTTCAATGTGATTAAATAGTATCACTAATTTAATTTAATAGTATCATTAATTTTTAAACACTTTTATGTTGTTTAGCTTTTGCTACTAGAAGTTAAGAGTCTTTCCTCCCATTTACTGCATGGGGAGCTGGAAATTATTTTTCCTTTTTCCCCATTTGTTCTTACTTTTATCTGTTATAATAGGTGCTTTTCCCAATAAGCTCTACTATTATTTTTACTACAAAAAAGGTAAAAGATTAACAGATAGGATATACTTCTTTGGGCACCTCTTTGATTTTTTCCATGAGGCAAACTCCATAATTAGCATTGCTAATTGATTAGGATTTTTTTTTTAACTTTTGGTACTTGTTGCTAAATTTCTATTCAGAGATTTTATGCTATTTTATATACTCTTATCAGTGAATGAGACTTCCCACTTGATAGTCTCAAGTGAGCTTTTCTACCCATCAGCTACTGGACCATTGACAGATCAATTTACTATATACATACTGATGTTTTGATGTTGTGAATTAAATGCTATAAAATCAAATCTAAGATTTTCTCCACCTGAAATCCTGACTCATCGAAGCAAAACATACATCCAACTATAAGAAAGTTTTATAAGCAAAGTTAAGTACAAAAATGGTTATATTCTTTAGTCATTGAAATAATACTCAGGTTAGATTTAATATAGTACTCTTCCTTGATTTTCAGGGTCATAAAAATTTAGCAAAAAATAAAAATAAAAAAGCAAAGTGAAGTTATTCCTGTAGATAAATTTGTTAAGAAAGCCAAAAGTGATGTAACAAAAATTCTTCCAAACTTCAGGAACCTAATGAATAAAGAAATTTGTTATGTATCTATTACAAATAAGGTTTCCAGGTTTGGTGGAGAGTTTTGTTCTACATATCGTTTGGCTATAATTTCATTACTAAGAAAGAAGGGAACTGGAAAATTAAAGTTCTTCACAACAAGAAGTAATCATATTATAAATGACTGTTAGAGAAGGAAGAGACAAAACTTTTTCTAGAACTTTCTAAGAAAACAACAAAAAATGAAGTAATAGAGTAATGAGCAAATATTTTTACATCAAGTGTATGGTTTGATTTTACTCTATTTATAAGCTTAAAAGTTTTCTGTTACATTGCATAGATTCTGGCAGAAAACATGGACCTTCTGTTCTAAGACCAATGATTTATTACTCGTGGCACAGTAGTCTGAGCATCATGTTTGCATTGTTTCCTTTTATCTGCAAGCCCCAGGGAGGGTATTGTAAGCCCAGAAGGTTGGTACTTTTACAGTGAGTTAGCTTCACAGCTGAGGGATCTTAGACTTGAGGATTCCATTTTTTTACAGAAAGCAGTAAGAGAGCCTACTCTGTGTGTTCGAAAAAGACATTATCTCATCCCTTATCGTTCCTAACAATATACACAACCTTAAGAAATGGTAATAATAATAATAATGGCCAGGGTCATTCATTGTTGGCATGCCCACTAAAAGATACAGGAACTTCAACACCAATGGGGTTACTGCTTCTTTCAATATTCATCCCTTGGGAGCCTCTGAAGATATTTGTGTGTACAGGAAGATAAATAAATTAATGTTACCATGGAAGTGGGGATTATATTCAGCATGAAGTATATGCTTTAAGTTTTTAACATTTCAAATATTCTCCGAAACAGACACCTTCAAAAATACTTACTCATTTATGAGCTGCCTTTGCAGTGGTTTTAGATTTATTTGTAATACAGAAAATGAATAGATGTATTGTTCAGGCAGAGTGCTGTTCAATAAAAACTGATTTATAGTACTTTGTTTCCTCATAATCTAATTTGGGTTCTTGAGTAAGCAAAATGACCCTTTCCTGAACACATCACTGTTGCATATCATACTAGTAGATCATATAGCTCAAGAGAAATATTATCGGGTTAAAAATTTCCTGACATGGGTTGAATGTATTGATTCATGCTTTTGTGGTAATGAATAATAGCAAGAGTCTGGTATGCTTTAGTAAGTGGAAAACAAAATGAACAGGGAGAAGCATTGTGTTCATGTTAGGTAGACATTTCCTTTCACCACTCACTTGCCCCTGCCAGCATAAACTATGACTTACTACTAAGCATTTGAAATTAGTGCTTTAGAAACTTGTTCAGAGCAAGGAAACATCAGAAGCTATGCTCTTGGCTCTGCCACTCAGTGATTTGGGAACTTTTGGCACCTCATTTAATCTACCTTAACATTTGAGTAATAATGCTCTTCTAGAATCAAATGAGATATGGATGTGGAAGTCTTTTCACAGTTATAAAGCATTATAAAATATTTAATTTTCAGTAATTATAAGTACTTGAGCTTTTCTCTTCTAAAGGAGACAGATTGGAGAATATGTTCTCTCTCAATGCTAAGTGCATAATGTAACTTCTAATCGTAACATCTTTGACCACAGTTTATCTGCTTTTAGGACGTTTAATTTAAAAAAGACAACTTTGTTAAAAAGCTACAGTTTTAATCATTTGGAAGTTCTGTTTCTGTGGCTGCATAAGTTACAAGTACTTTATTCACTACTAAGTCAAAAATGATGGATTTAGTAAAGCTGTGTTTGGATTTGTTGTCATCTTTTATTATTAAAAATTGTAGGGATATAAGGGAATGGATATCAAGAGGAAAAATGCTTGACTTTATATGATGAAGGACACTTGGTTAAAAGAAGTTGAGAATGGTTGGAAAATAATTGTGTGTGCATATGTGTGTATGTGAGTGTAAGTGTGCAGTGTAAGTGCTGATCAAAGCCATTCTTCTTTTTTGACTTCCTGAACATGTTAACATTAAGTCCCTTATCCCTTTTTTGAAGAGTAGGACTATTTCCTTGATTGATTGACAGCAGCTTCCAAATAATCTTACTGTTTTTCTAGTATCTACTGTGTTTAATTAACCACTCTAATGGCTGTTTTGCAATCATGAAAGTTGCCAGAGAATCATAAAATATCCAAGCTGTAAATGAGTTTAAACTTCCTATAGTAATGACAGATGAAGAAATCAGTGTCCTCAAGAATTTAAATATGCTCTTTACAGGCACTCATCTGAATGTTGATGTAAATTTTTCAGATAGCTCTTTCTTTCCTACTTGTAGTGCTCTTTAACTATTGTGTACTACTTTTGAATTTTGATAGTATTTTAAGCAATAACACCTCATTCTCTTTTTAGGTGGTTATTACTAGTAAAATGGGAGAAATCTTGTATCGTATTTCACCATGGGCAAAGTATGTGGTTCGTGAAGATGGCAATGTGAATTATGATTGGGTACACTGGGATCCAGAACAGCTATACAAAGTGAGAACAACAAATCTTTAAATAAATGCTTATTCTGATACTTGTAGGAAAATTAAGTTTTACTTTTATAACTTTAAAAGTAATGTTCAACATCTCTTTATATTAAAGTCCATCATCTGTAGCCCATAAAATATAGAAATAGGCTTTTGTTTTAATTTGTTTTTGAGGTTAGAGAAAAATACTAATCTTACATACTCATCTATCAGGAATACTAGTTTGTTTTTTAAAGCTACAATTTCTGATTTATCAAAGACTTAAATGGTATAATATTTCTTGCTGTCATAGTTTTGAAGCAGGATCAGTGTCCTTAGGAAAAGGAAATTGGAGAGGCTGCCTCATAAATGAATTTATTATGGTATTTTATGACCATATTATTAACTGATGTGATATGTATCTTTGAGATCACTTTTCTTTCCTTTAATTTGTTGGAGCTTGTTAATAAATGCTTTGCATGTGAAAATTACATATTCATTTCAGGGGTTTTTTTTTCCTGTGAGGCTAACACACAAAAAAAATTTCTTCATCTATGATAATCAATTAAATGATTTTTCTCTGTAAATTGTAAATATTAACAATCTTATAAAGGATTCATCTTTTAAAAAAATAGTGAATGTTGTCAGTATCTTTTATATGTGAGAACAGTTCCATGTGTTTGAATTTATTCACTCTTTTATTTAATATGCTTGGTCAGTTAGTGTCACACATGAATTCCAGGTTTAATTCTATGTATAATTTTATCTTTTCTAGTTTAAGCATTCCAGACCAAAGAAGCCACGAAGTCTGAGAATTTATGAATCACATGTGGGAATTTCTTCCCATGAAGGAAAAATAGCTTCTTATAAACATTTTACATGTAATGTACTACCAAGAATCAAAGACCTTGGTAAGTAATAACTGTGATTTTTTATTCAGATAAAATTTTAATGAGTCTGTTCTCTTATTAGAAAAGCTAATTACAAGTGTCTCTTTTTTGTGTTAAGAGATTAAGTGTGTAATAGAAATACATTTTATTTTAGGCTTCTCAGATTGCCCTGTAATAGTGATAGCATAGAAAAGAGAAATGGAGTAAGATAGAACATAAGAATTCAAGGTATTATTCCAGTTTCAATTTTAAGTAATGTGAACTCATGGCTTCCAAATTTGTAGATAAATACATAAGCATAATTACTTTTCTATAGGAGATAACCTTGGTCATTGATTATATTCTGTTCATTTTGGTCTGTTAGGGGAAAAAATCTTACATTTGTAATGTGTCTAAAAATCATTTTATGTTCGAGTCATTGTGGAAAGCCCATGTCTGGATGACTTATTTGAAAAGTTTTACGGTCATCTGCAGCGTGAGACACATTGTATGTGATAGTCTCGTGTTACTGTGATGATGAAGGTTCTGTCTTCATGGGAATAACAAGGAGATATATGTACAATAAATAGTATTTTGCTGAATTGTTGATTCAGTACATGTTGCACCTGTTGTTTTGTCTTTTGATAGGTAATGCTTTAAAAAAAATCCACAGCACATTTAGCTACTACTGCAATGGCTAGATAGGAAGATAAAGTACATTCAGTTATACTACTTCTGCCAAAGAGTTCAGGTTTGGCTGGAAGCAAGGTTTGCAAGTCATGGTGAAAGTTTTCAGTTATGTGTAGATATTAATTATCTGTATGGGAAACCAAAAATTCAGAATCTACAATTAATTAAATGCACAAATAATTTACTTTTACTTATAGGTAATGGAAATGTGAAAATTGTCATATTGAAGTTTTTTTATATTATAAGTAATTAATTACTTATGACCTAGTTTTTACAGAAAATTCGTGAACACATGGACTCTTGTTCAATTTTTGTTTCTTAATTGCCAAGCCCAGTACAGAGAAAATAGGTGAAACAGGGAGTGATTACTACTATAAAAATTAATAATAAACCTATAAGATAGTACTTAATCATAATATGTATTACATAATAAATTATAAACTTTAAATTTTATTATAAAGTATATAATTGATTTGTGAAATCTGAGCAAGAGTCTTATATCAATATTTCTATTACTTGATATAATTTGCTTTTTTTTTATTTTAATTTTTTTTTCATAAGGATACATCCCCTTTTTGGTAATAATCATTTTTTTGTTTTGATTCAGGTTTAATTTAATTTTTAAAAATTATTTATTAATTTATTTGTATGTTTATACATTTTGCGGGCCATCTCTCCCCTTTGTTCTCCCTACCCCCCTCACTCTGCTGCTCCCTTCTACTCCCCCCTTCCACTCCCCGCTCCCTCCCCTTCCACCTCACTTCCAGCCAGAAGCTGTTCTGCCCTCTTCTCCTATTTTGTTGAAGAGAAAACATAAGAAATAATAAGAAAGACTTAGTGCTTTTGCTAGTTTGATAAGGATAGCTATATATAGAGATTCCTAGCATTGCTTCCATGCACATGTGTCTTACAACACAAATTTGTTCATCTCTACTTGATCTCTTTACTACTTCCCAGTCACCTTCCCATAGTAGCCTCTGTCAGTTTAGGATTACTATATTCAGTCCTCTACAGTGGGCATATCAAACACTTTCAAGTTTTAGGTTTCCTTCCCTTTTCCTGTTCCTCCCATCACTGTTCTCCCATGTCCAGTAATATTACTGCATTTGTTTTAGGTCTATAATCCACATATGAGGGAGAACATAATGATTTTTGGCCTTCTGAGCCTGGTTAACTTTGCTTAAAATGATGTTCTCCAGTTCCAATTTTTTTTAACAATAAAAAAGCCAATAGTAATAACATTTCATTAGATTATGAAATCACAGAGAAATGTATGCCCTTCTTTACATGTATAAATTCCTGATTCTGAATGTGAATTTGTAATTGTTCCAATATTATTGATGTACTGAAACATGGACTTGAAAAGCTATAAGATAACAACTAAAACGAGTGAAATTAATTTGACACTTCTATTTGCTTGCAAGAGCAGTTATATATTTGAATATGAATATGAAATTGAAACCTTATAGGAATTAGATATTAGAAACAGAAAAAGGATATTTTGTATATATGTTATACCAATGTAACTTACAGCAATCAAATCATATTTGGAAAATTGCCATTTTGTTCTTTAGTAAAGAAAAATCTGGTTTTTCTTTGTTTTATTTTGAGATCAAAGTTTCTTTTCTTTATTTATTTACTTATATTAAATGTTTAAATCCTCTGGAGTTTGAAAATATACTTAACTACTTTTTCAATCACTTCATTTATTGTCAGAACAAAACATAGTTGGATGGAAAAAGGAAGGTTGTAAATTGAGTGTGTGCGTGTCTGTGCATGCACATGCATGCACACATATAACTTTGGAATAATTTTATAGGTGTAAAACATAGAAATTACAACCACTAATACTTACCGTATAAAGGCTACTTTTAGAAAAATAAATACTGTATTATAAAAATAATTGAAATATAAAATAAAAGGCCGAATAAATTCACATATCATATAATAAGTTGCATTTATTTAGCTTTCATAATATTCAGTATGAATACTACCCGTACCACTGAAGTTAGCATATGCAGATTTCCATCTTTAATATTCTAAAGCCAAATTAAGCATACATTTGCATATCGTTTATTGCTTGTTAAAATGAAGACATTTCAAATAGCTAGTCAGAGTATAACTCTTAAGAAAGTGAATGTCCAATTTTGTGTTAGAAGGTCAACCAATACATGATCTTAAGTGGTAGAACTTTTCAGGATAGTCAGTGTTTCTAGATAACTTGTAAAATTTATGTCTTTAGGCATGCTGTTTTTCATTACTTTTTTAAAGATGTGACTTTGAATCTCCCTTTGGCTTTTGCTTCTGTAGGATATAACTGCATTCAGCTGATGGCTATCATGGAACATGCTTACTATGCCAGTTTCGGGTACCAAATCACAAGTTTTTTCGCAGCTTCAAGGTAAATTGAAAGTCTTACTATATTAATTTTTATTTTTAACAAAAATAAAATTTAAAAAGTGAGTTTTAACATTTCATCTGGTGTTTCATAATCTACTTCAGGGTCCACAGATTTAATAGAAAGTAAATGTTTTCTTTAACCTAGGTCATAGGTTCTCTTCCCATATAGCTTAAAGGCTGATTTAATGTCATTTTTCTTGGAAAGCCTTCTGATAAAGAACTTTTTAGGGCTGGTCATGGTTGCTCAGGCACGAAACACCAGCTATGGGGCAAAAATGGGAGATCCTGCTTGAAAAATAATTGAAGCAAAAAGGGTTGTGTATATGGCTCAAGTGGTAGACTGCCTTCCTAGCAAGCACAAGAACATGAGTTCAGACTCTAGTACTGAAAAAAAAAAAAATCTCCATTATATAACTATTATATTTTTGGAGGCACATGCTCACATGCTTTAGTCAGACAAGTTTGCCCTGTGGAATGATTATTACTATTTGCTATCCTACATATTTGGCTGATTTGCTTACTAGAATATAAATTCCTTAAGGACAAATGATACTTATATTGCTCATTGCTGCATTTTTAGAATGTGGAAAATGGACTAAGCACTTGGTGAACAAACCAGTGGATGGGAGAATGAAATTTTAAGGCTGTTCATTTATTGACTATGTCATTCAATAAGTGGGGACAGGATATATGATTGGGATAAGGAAAAGAAGGGTAAAGTGTTGTAAGATAATCTAAGTATAAATTGCCAGAATGGCTGGACATTAGGCCTTAATGAAGACATGGATCTTCATCCTTTGGACAGTGGAAAGCACAGTATGATTTTTCTTAGAGCATGACATGATCTTTTCTACATTTTGAAAATATAACCCATGCTGCTCAGTGGAGTGGTCCATTAGGGGACTTGATGTTTACTAAGCGCTGTATGGATCATAGGGTGCCACATGGTGACAGCCCATACTGTCAAGGAGAATTCATCCTCATGAGGAAGAGCCACAAACACTTTATAAGAAAGACAATTATTTATTTTAAAGGGTGAAGTTGAGCCATGGAAGAGTATATTGTGGGAATTTTGCATAGGCCTTATATGGATGTGATTTTTATTTTCTGTTACATGTAAACTAGGAAGGAGACTGCTTCTTTGTTTGGCATGGGGCGTGATACTAGGATTTGAAATCAGGGTCTTTTCCTTGCTATGCAAGTGCTGTACCACTTCTACTGCTTGAGTCATGCACCCAGCCCTTTTTTGGTTTAGTTATTTTTCAGGTGGGGTCTCATGCTTTTTGCCCAGCCAACTTTGGACTGTGATCCTCCTACCTACACCTCTAACATTCTTAGGATTTCAGGTATGCACCACCATGCCCAGCTTGTTCTTTGAGGTAGTATCTCTTTAATATTTTTTTCCTGGTGGGGAGAGGACGGCCTGGCCTCAAACCATGATCCTCCTGTCTTTGCATTCAAAATAGCTTGGATTATAGGCCTGAGCCACCAAATCTGGAAAGAAGACTGTTTTTAACATAGCCACACATGCATGTGAAACACTCATATTTTCTGCTTGGGTGGTTATAGACATGGCACATTCTCTAGCCACTGGTATCCAGAGTAATTCCAGTTTGAGAACAAGAGTAGTAGGGATGGTCTTAATCAAGGCACCGAAAACCTTCAAAAGCATATTCCAAGTCCCTCATCCCTGACTCAACAGTACACACTCAAAGGGGTGAGCAGATAGGTGAGCATGAATGTGGTGGATCTGGCATGGAGATGGGAATCAGAAGCTCTGAGGATAAACGGTTTTACTATTTCACATATTCAAAATATGAATTTTGTTTAGGATATATTTCTACAGTTAATAGCTAGCTTGATTTAAACTATTTTTAATGTTTTAAATTTGCTTACACCTTTTGAAATGTATATAAGTGTCATATACTGCATTTACATATTAAAATGTCTTGTACTGTGCTAGGCAGATGTGCGGCTGGTCACTTGCTTGAAATATAATGGAATGCTGTTTTTGCTGATTTCTTTACCTTTAGTCGTTATGGAACACCTGAGGAGTTAAAAGAACTTGTTGACACAGCTCATTCAATGGGTATCCTAGTCCTCTTGGATGTGGTGCACAGCCATGCTTCAAAGAACTCAGATGATGGGTTGAACATGTTCGATGGGACCGATTCCTGTTACTTTCATTCTGGACCTAGAGGGACTCATGACCTTTGGGATAGTAGACTGTTTATCTACTCCAGGTAAGAATATATGACGTGGAATGTTTTTATTAATTGATTGATTTGTTTATTCAGTTAATTGATTGTAACTGTCATAACATGTAACAGTTATTTGTATATGCTCTGTGTCAAAGATAAGTAAACTAAGTTTTGTTTTAATTTTAATTTTTTTTTTTTATGTTTTAGTTTTTTAACAAAGTCTCACTATATTTCCCAGGATAGTCTCCAATTCACTATGTAGCCCAAGCTGGCATCAAACTATTGATCTTTCTCCTAGCCTGCTGAGTGCTGTGACTATAGTGAGTACCACCAAGCCTGGCTATAAACTAGAATTTGGTGTTGAAATAGTTTAAGATTAAACACAGCTCTAACCTCTTTGACCATCTAAATACAAGGGGGCTTTAGGTTGATTAAATTTAAATATCATTATATGACAAAAACTAAAAAGAACTCAAATTACTTGTTATTTCTCCTATGCAAAAATATGGTGTTATTCATATTAAAACTAGTAAAGTACCAAGCACCTAATGTACAGTTTGAGTGTTCCTAATCTGAAAATGTGAAATGATCCACTATCTGAGACTTTTTATGTCCTAATGTGGTGCTGCCAGTGGAAATGTCCTCACCCACCCTCATAAAGTGGGCCACAGCCCAAATGCATTGAAGCTACAGTGTTACATATATCACTTTAGGATGTGTATGTTATGTGTTATGAACATAAATGAATTTCATGCTTTGATTTGAGTCTCAACCCCCAGAATTCAGGAACATTAATAATACAAAACACTCTGATCATAAACATTTTGGGTAAGGGACACTCAACCAGCATGACTAATTTTTCATAATAAATGTCTTTGAAAAAGTTTAATAAATTTCTTTGGTGATGTCTCATAGATACACAAGCACATGCCTAGAAAATGGGTAGTAAAGAAAAATTTTCCAGCAAATATTTTTTACAAAAGTAAGAATTCCTGTTTTTCAACATAAATTAGATATCTTTTATATGGAAGAAGTTGTTTTGCTGCACTCTTTTCTTAGTAGCATCCATTACTTTGTTTCCTTGCCATGTAGGATCACTCGTGTCAGATGAGGCTGTGTAATAGATGACAAAAGACACAAGAGTGTGGCAGGGTTCCAGGCCTAGCGTCTCCTCTGCTACAAATAGATTAATCATTCTTGTACAGGAAGCAGAGTTTATGTATTAATATAATTCTTCCTATGAAGGTATTTTGTATTTGTGTCACCTTTTTTTAAACATTGCTTTTCTTGTTACAGATTTATTGCAAATAAAAGGGACTGAACCTGTTTTAGTTCTATTAGAAAAGTAAAACATGCACAAGAAAAACAATTTTACTTTGTAGTTCATTTTTGGATGAGTTAGGATTGACTTCATCCTGAATAAAGACATGTTAAATAGTAAAAGTTCTCTCTCTCTCTCTCTCTCTGTCTCTCATCTTTTTAATAACTTGAGCCACACTTCCAGCCCTTTTTGCTTTCAGTTTATTTTTCAGGTAGGATTTATATGGTTTTTGCTTTTTTGCCCAGGCCAGGACTTGGACTACAATCCTTCTACATATGGCCTCCTCATAGCTGTTTTGACAGGTTCACACCCACACACCTAGCTTATTGATTGTGCCTTTTTGTTGTTGTTGTTCTTTTGGTGGTGCTGGGGCTTGAACTTACCACCCCACACCCGGGGAGGCAGGCACTCAAGCACTTGGGCCACTCTGTCATCCCCCAGCTTATTGCTTGAGATGGGGTCTTGCTAACTTTTCTGACCAGATTGTCCTCAAATATTGATCTTCCTGATCTCTGCTTCCTATGTAACTGGGATTTCAGGTGTGAGGCACTGCACCTGGCCCAAATTATAAATTTTTATATTCTAAAACAATTCTTCTATAGAACTACATTTTATAAAGAAATATATTGAATAGACTTTTACATTATTAAATAATTAATATACTAAAATATTGTTTATTTTTCTGTACAATTAGCTCTTAAATGTGTTTAAACTTACCCAGTTTTCTAAAGTAAAAGAGATTCAGCATAATTGCTTTTGAAAACATATCTATTATAGAAATTGAGACAAATTTATTATTTAATATTTAGTTTCTTTTTTATTCAACAAAGTAGTAATCTTTGTCAGATGCCTACTTCTGATAACATGCATTATGATTTTAGCTTATGATTGTAATTTTTTATTAATGCATATTTAAAAAATATGTGCTCTGTCAAACAGGCATATCACTCTGCAAAAGTAGTTCATTAAAATCTGCTTTTATTACTTGACATGTTCTATTTGACTAATATCTAAATTATCCAACTTTTATAGAATTTTTTATGTGTAGATTTATACTATTAGCTATGACATCATTAAACAATATAGATGTCATTCTATAAAGCTGGTGTATACAACCCAGTTACACAAGTGATACTTTATGTTTTTTCAAGATATGAAATGCCAAAGGTTCTAGAACTTTCAATTATTGTCTCTTACTTTTATGTACAACTTATTATACTTATTAATATAATTTAGACTGAAAAAATGTACTAGTCTTTTGCATTTGCCTACTTCTGGGCTTATACCATATACAGTTTAACACTGATTTAGTCTAATGTTAAAGCCATTTTAATAAATCTTAGCTTTCATGCTTAAAGTCGTACTTTGCTCTTTTGTTTATTCATTGCTATTTAACAAACCTATCCCCAAATTTATTGACTTAATAACAAGTGTTTATTTTGTCCCCAAATTCATAATTTGAGTGTGCTTCAGCAGGGGCAGCTCTACTCTTTTTGCTATATCCACTGGGTTGCTTAAATTGGGTGGAATATCAACTTTCTGGATAATTTACTCACTGGTCAAGATATTTGGAGCTGGCTGTGACTTTGAGCCAGAGGTCTTCATTTCCCCTCCTTGTAGCCCATTCCACATACATCTTGGGATTTCTTACAAGATTGAGACTCAAAAGACTCACATATAGGATAGCGTTTCATGTGGTCTGGATGTGTTAACTGAAGCAGTGTGAGCTCCATTGGTCATACAGTCAGAGATTCAAAGTATACTAGACGTCGTCCTATCTTTCAGTAGGAAGAACCCTAAAGAATTTTATATCTGTGTTGTAGATTTCCCACATTTGGTCACACACAATTAGTAGATTAATTCACAAATTATAAAGAGATGTATTAAAATTCATATCTATGTCAAAACACTATTTCAGCCAGATTTCTTTTGTATTGAGAGTTATGGCAGCAATAGACATTTTTGAAAGATGTACTTTCATTATAAAAGTAATAACAACACCATTGTAGGTAATTAGTAAATGCAAAAAAGGCAAAGTCCAAAGTAAAATTTATTGTTCTTTATAATTGTAAATAGCATACTTTTATTTAGCTACATGTGAGGGTGTTTAATGAATATCCCTTAGATGCATATAAATGCATAAAAACCCAGTCCTTCACTTTCATCTTCTTCATGTGATAAGTACACTATCTGTAATTTTGACTTTCTTCCTTATGCAGGTGAAATCAGAAGCAATAATTTATATTACATATTTTAAATATAAATTACTTCCTACCATTTACCTTTTATAGTTTGATTAATATTATAATCTATTGATAAATACACAAAATAAATCATGGTTTGCTTAAAGTCTAAGCCTCTTTAAAGACTCTTGCAATAATTAAAAAAAATTGTATGTTCTGTTGGAAAAAAATTATCTTACATAGAATCCTATCTGTAAAGATATGTTGCTCATTTTCATCCTGTCTATATGTTACAGCCTGTCACCATTTGTAATCCCTGATTCAAGTGGCATCATCACAGTGATCAGAATTAAATTTCACTCTGAGTAATGGCAGAGATCCTGACTGTGCTAATTCATTACCTGCTATGAATAAATTTCCAATCAGGGGCTGCCCATGTTTTAATTTTCTGTCTACTCACCTGAACTGCCTTCTAGCTCTGCTAAATTACTAATGACAGTTCGTAACAGAGATTGGGTTGTCCTTTCTTCAGATGGTAAAGAGAACTTTCTGGCAAATCTGATACCCGTAAGTTTCTGGAGTACCCAGAGTGAAAAATTATGGATATAACTTAGTGGTTTCAATTTGGGATTCTGTTTGCATCTTCCTCTGGTATTATATAAATGCTCTTGATAAAACAAGGCAAGTTCAGGTTTCTTGAGCTTAAATAACTATTCTTTAGGCATTACTAAATCTTCAAATGAGTATCTTTTCTTTGTTGAATACTTTTGTCAAAGATAAGATACTGAATCTCAAAGGAGATAGCATAGTAGAGCTAATACTCATTTTCCCCTTAAACTTCCATTTGAACACAAAATTAGTATAATATTCTATCATCACAGATTAATAGTGTGACAACTATTAGGCTAAAAGATAATTCTGTTCTACTCTTGAGTTACTAGAAGTTCTTTTAGAAGCAAAAGTGAATCCAGTTTCCTGATTTATCATAGCTACATGGAATAAAATGTGTATTCCTATAGATAATATAATATTTGGGACTTCTTAAACAAGGAAGAACTTTTCAAATGTGGAAGGAAACTCATGAGAAACATTCCTCCACAGAGTAGAGTGTTGATCTTAAGTAGTTGGCCTATGATAGCTTATCATATGACTTTGCTTAGTTTGTTAATAAGGTGCATTACACGGATTTTGAATGTTAATCCAATCTTGCATGTCTGAGGTAAGTCCTCATATATGTAGATGCAAGTTTTCTAGACAATCTTGTAGCATATTTGTATGTTCCATTACACTGAATCAGTTATTAATGATAAAATCTTAATTTAAGTGTTATTATGTACTAATATATTACCTACTAAGCATATGACACCATCATGACTAGCAAGATATTTTAAATCTAAGCACTAGGAAATGAACAAAAACTCTAAATTTATATTTGATATAATTTACATAATTAGATTATTTATATATTATTTATATAATTATATTTTATTTTTATATAATTTTATAAACTCATTTTTTGTGTTTTTATTATTGGGTAA